TGTGCTTGGGTCGTATGTGCTGATTTTTGTTTGAGTTTGTTGGGCTTTACGCTATATAAGTTTGGATTTATTTATTTATTTCCTTAAAGACACAAAAAGTAAACAGAAAGATACTTGTAATAGTGCCTTAACTAAAAATGTTTTATTTTATTTATATTTCTGCAAGTGTGTATGTATGTGTGTGTATATGTGTGGTGTTTTGTGTTTGTTTCCGTGTGTGTAAAACACGCTATTGTTGTACAGTTGGAATGTGTTACATATTTTAAAGACTTTTGAATGCACACTGGTCGCTGGAGTGAACTTGTTCATGCGTGCGCTCCACCTCCCAAATATGTTTGCGTGTATTGCGTTTTCATTTCATTTAATGTTTGCATATTTGAGGAAGTGGGCACGCGTTCGCAATAAATCAATATTTTTTTTGCGGAAAATCTATCTCTGTTATGTTTTAGAGATTTTAGCCTACCTGTTCGGCGCACACTGAAAATGACAAGCTACGGAAAAATTTTTAACGTGAGTTTATATGAAGTTTGCATGTTTGCATTTGCACTGTTTATCTTTTCCTGCCAATTTGTAAGTAAGTACTTGGAATGTTGTGTGGCGCTTGAACTTTAAAACACAAAAATTGTTTGAAAAATGTGGGAAATAAATCAATGATATTTAAATCAAAATAATAAAAAACAGAATGCTCTTATACATGCAAATGAAAGTTTATACATTGTTGCTCGGCCATCAATCTTTTTTGAAACCAGTCGGTCCATCGAACAAGTCATCAGCAGTGTCACTGGGTGGCTGATGTTTAACAACGGTGCACTGTACGAGTACGCTTGCTAGTGCGTGTGAATGTTTGCATGATTATGCGTTGTGCCTTACAAATTGTTTGCTCGTTTGTTAAGGTCTTTGTTTTTAAATTTTAATTTGCTTGTTTGTTGTAAGGATGATTGTTTTTATAGGTTTATGTTCGCATACGTATATATTTAAATTTATGGTTTTCGGTGGTTTGGGATGTAGATGTACGTTTATGTCTGCAGTGTTTTAACCTGTCTGCTATCATACATTTCATTGCATGTGATTACTTTATGAGTTTTATGGTGTGGTGTATTTCAAACTAAATGTTGATGCTGATAGGGTAGGTGGTTTCTGTTTGTTTGTTCGTTCGTTTTTTCGTTTGTTTGCTCGGTCGAACATTCGTTCGCTCGCTATATAGTTCAGTTTGTTTGTGTGCATCTTCAGCCTAACTTGCCCCTCAATAATAATAATAATTCAAAGAAAAACGTGTTTCGTGAAAGTTGGATAAAATTTTCAACTAAACTTTTTTCAGTGTGCAAGGTAGATGCTAGATGAGACGTTAGGACATGGTTAACGCCATGAATCTTAAAATCCCAGATCCGTGATATTCTAAAAGTGTATCTGGTGTATATGGTAGGCAGTAGCGTATATGTTAACCACTTAACAAGCGAGCGTGAACGTTGGTTGTAACTTAAATGAATGAACTTGTAATCGAAGTTAACCATGAAAAATTAGAGGCGCACTTCATTTTCAAACAAAATGAAAATTAAAAGCTCTTCATTGACGCAAATGTAGAGCGTACATATATTAATTTATAAGCAGTCACTCGGATGATACTCTTCGTTTAACCATGTGATCGCTACAAAATGTGATGTCTGCTTGCCAACTAACTCAATTTCTATTTGATACGAGCGTCATCGTCGTCGTTATCGTTGTTCGTCTTGGGTAAATATCAAGAGAAAGGTGATAAGTTTAGATAAATGACTTTCCAATGCATGGTTTTGCATTCCCTGGTTAGACGAACAATTATTCTCTACGTCAATTCATTTCTGTTGAGATGGGATGGCCTGGCAGTGTCGTTAATGTCCTTTCATGTGAGTGCGATGAATGCCTGTCTCTGCATGTGAATGTGAATGTGAATGCTATGCCCCACTTGTAGACCAACCAGACACGTAGATAGCCCACCTCGTGTGATAGGTTGAGATGTTTATAAGGATGTTTTGTCAACAATGTTCTTGCTATCGAGTTTACATGGTAATTATCGTTTTTATCAATTTGTTCATTTATTTATAAATATTTATTTTTTCTTTATATAAAACTTTATTAATTTTTGAGTAATCTTATAAAAGAGAATCAGGCTGTTTGAAAAGGAAAAAGCATTTATTAAATTATTTTTCACTCAATGTAATCGTTTGCTTCCATCATTAGAGCTTTTATAAAAACAAATCAAGAAACATTTAAATCAATAAACAAGGACAACTAGCGATGGCAACCAGCGACAGCAACCAGCGACGACAACGGGCGATGGCAGCCAGCGACGACAACTGTCACGAAACGACGATAAAAATTTCATGTGCAGTTTTTTGTAGGTTTTTTTTTACAAAGGATAGTCCTTCGAAAGCCATCACAAATCTATCTATCTCTTCACTAATCCATCTACTGATATCGTTTATATCAAAGTTCTTTTTGGTGTCTTCATAAGTAGGAACCTTAGCTGGAAAGAACATATCGTGTGTCAATTTCAATGAAAATAAGTAAGACTCTTGGAATTATTAGTAAACTAAAATTCACATTTCTCAAAAATATACTGTTAAATTTATATTACACACTTATATTATACTTATATTATTTATTATACTTAAACCATTGTATAATAATATGGGGAAGAAACATTAAATCTGTTCATTTGATTATTTCATTCTATTTTATTTTTTAAACATTTTATTACAATTTATTCTCATTATTTAATTTTGGTTTTCAAAAAATAAAAGAGTTTCTTTACTAATACTATTATTATTAATTTTATTATTATTATTATTATTATTGTTGCTGTTGTTGTTGGTCGTCATGGTCGTCACATCGCGACTAAAAAACTAGTTGTTAAATGAAATTTTTGTTTAAAGTTAGATCGGAAGATTGAACTATATAGTGGTCGATAAGGTTATCCCTCACATCAGTATCCAGCCATCATCCGATCAACATCACACAACATCAATATCACATCAATATTTTATAAACACAACATCACGTAAGCATTACATTAACATCACATCACTTGCAGTTGAGATGTTTTCAACATTCTATCACAGTACATATCTATAATATCACCGTACTCAATCATCTATTCAGTTATGAACATGAACACATACACGCACAAGCAGGCAGACATACGAAGCAACAGTGCGGAACAAAAGCATCTAGATGGATAGGTTGAACATATTGTGCTATAAATTTTTTGTATTTTCAAACATTTGTTGTTTTATTATTCACAAATGCTTGCAGCAAACAATAACATTACAAAAAGCAATCTGGAGGTTGCGTAACTTGTATAAAAAAAAAATGAACCAATACGGTAACCGGCAACAACGCAATTGTGGTTTGTGCGCGGTGTTATTTTTATCCTGTTCAAGGACGAGACAAAAAAATATATGTTCGGATGTTGTTGAACTCACAGTTATTTAACTAACTACCGTGTGTGTGTGTGTGTGTATGTGTGTGTGTGTGTGTGTGTGTGTGTGTGTGTGTGTGTGTGTGTGTGTGTGTGTGTGTGTGTTGTTGTTGTTCTCTTGTTCTCATGTTCTTGTCTTGCTGCACTGTTATTAGCACTGCACTGTTGGAATGTGTTTGTTACATTACATGTGCCAACTTTGTGTTACATGCTTCACTGGGCAGTAGATTATGTTCAAGATGTAAGTGGGATTTCATTGCTTCCTGTTCCTGCAGCCATACGTATGGGACTGTCAATTAACCCGGATGTTATAATTATTTATTCCAACTGGATTCTAGAACACTTTTTAAACAATTTAAACATCTAGATGTAAAACAAACGTTTGAAAAAGTTTGTTGTAAAAATTGAATCGCGAGGAAAAGTAAAAGCATTCAATTTGCGATATCCGTTCACAAATTAAAATCTGCTCGTCTATTTTATTTTGTTCGTTTGTTTTATTTAACGATACTTAAAGCACAAGTAGTCATCATTCACCCTTCATTATATTTAAGAATAAAAAAATGTTTGAGAATTAAAACGCGGTGTAGCCACATTAAGTTGAATGATTTGAACATTGAACTGAGCGTGTGTCTTCTAACGAGAGCACTCAACAACAGACAGAGCTTAGCAAACTAACTCTGACAATGAAGACTTCAGTGGGATTAGGAGGAGGCCCGTCGAGGAGGTTTATGCCATTGCACTGGCGCAATCCAATGTTATAATTATTTTAAACAAACAGCATTTCAACAGTTTTAATCTAATATTCGATTTCAGAAAATACATATCGATATATTATATTTTTATTTAATTTAATTTTTTTAATTTTAAATTTGTTAAGGGTTTTTTTAATAAATTTATAATACATTAAAAGGCAGATATTATTTTTTGTATCAGATCAACTTTATAAGCACCACTTGTTCATGACACCATGACAATTGATTGACATTTCATTATTTTAAAAATAATTTTTCGACAGAGTTCATAGCTACCTACATCACCAAAATAAATAAAATTTTTTTTTGCATATATTTAATTCACGGCACGCATTGATTGCCTGCGACCTACATTACTTGCGTTTTATTTAAGGAGACTATTCAACCCGTGAAAAGTAATCAATGTTTGGCAGGTCAATTTACGACGCCATTATGAGTAACAAAACTTTATATTTTAATTTTAATTGATGATTTAAACACTGAATATTATTCAACATTGAGCGTTTGACTGACTCTTTGACATTGGACATCCGTGGGCAGAAAGTTTTTTATAAGTATTTTAGAATGGTTGTTGTAAAATTAACATCATTGTGCCGGGCCAAATTTAAAGCAGTGTGGGTGAGGGGTAGTGTAACTTAAACTGCTTTAATTGTTGCAAAACATTTGTTTTTTATACAGAAATTGTTTAGAAAATGTGGGATAATAAAAAAGAACAGTTGCCAACGTTTCTGAAAATCAAAATATTAATTCAATATAATATTACAAATATAAATATAATTAAGGGCCTTTGTTGCTCAGAGGCCTCCCTCCCCGTCGGCCTTGTTTAGTGATAGTTTCAAAGTTTCATTTGTTAAAAATACCATAAAACACTTTGAATTCTTGTCTGTTGAGCAGTTTAAAAAGTTTTTCGAACGTTCAAATGGGCCGAAGAAAGCAAACGATAAGAACGACCTCTCGTTTCTAAATGCGTGCCATACGTGACTTCACGCAACGTGTTTGTTCAGAGATTTGTAACTTTACCCCAGAGTCGTTAATTATGAGTTGCTAATACGGTTCTTAAACTCTTCTGTCTACGTCTTGGATGCTTGTCTAATTGCACGTTTATTTTTATACAAACGTATGCTCAAATACCTGCGTATTTCTATTTTCGTATTTGCGTGTCACATCAAATTGATGGTGACAAATTAAAACACACACACACACACACACACACATACACACACACACACACACACACACATAGGTAAATATATAGTATACAGTATGCACTTACATAAATATTTACAAACATGTATAAGCAAACGCATATATTCAAGAAACGACCAAACATCCAATCATAAGATCACAATTTTTTGGCGTCAATCACGAAGATGCAAGTTTGTGACCTTCTCAAATTAAATTTTTTCACACGAAAGTGTTAGCGTGTGCTGATGTGTGCGTGCGTCTGCAATTTTATGCATTACTCTCAATAGAGTAATATAGTATATGGTATATTATATACTATATAGTATATAATAGAAATATAGTATATGGTATATTATTTGTCCTGGTTATGACATTAAACTGACCCTCACTGCCTTGTGAGTGATGTTGGATCATCAAAGGCTAGGCCCACCGCTTATAACTGTGGTCGCGTAAGAAAGGGCGTCCTGCGTAAAAATTAGCCAAATAAATTACTTATGATGACAGAAGTGACAATGGCCCTCAGTATCCGGCAGAAGAGGATGCGCGAGGGGTATTTCGGTTTCATCATGGGTAGCCAAACGGCAACCCCCGATCTCGGGGAAAATGTCGTCTAAACGTGTGTTGTTGTTGTTGTTGTATATGGTATATTATGCAAAAGTGGTTGTTCATGTCTGTATTCGTAAAAGTGAAGAAGTTCAAATTTCTATAATATAGATAAGGCGTAGAAATCAATTCAGAAATTTACAGGATATTTGAATATTTAACTATCTTTTCAAGATTACTAGAATGTAAAAATTTATTAACAACCCTTTCCAATAATGTGACACCGTAACATTCAACATTCAACAATCTTCAACATCCATCAACCTCTTTCCCTTCGTCATATACAACTTCTAATTAGTGTAGTTATTAATTAATGTACTCAATTTAATTAGTGATATAAGATGATGACGTTGATGAATAATGACATTGGCGTGCTGGAAATGATACCGGTTATGGCGACGACTAGGAAGTCCGGGTGTAGGGGAGAGTGGGGATGATTGAGACACTTTCCGTCCAAACCTAAACAAAATGTAATGCCCTTCATCATTAAACACCTTTTTAGCATTTCAGTTAGAGCTGGGTCTACTGAATAAGATTTTATAACCTCATGCAACATTGTGAGTCATTCTAGAAGACAGTTTCAAAAGTTTTACAGGTACCTAAATGTCTCAACCATCCCTGCTACTGTACTGGTTGAGACAGCAGGAGTCATGCTTGAGACACCATTTAACTCATTGATATTTCAAAAGTTAATATCCCTTGCTTTTGTTTTATGGCTTGCAGAAGTTATTAGCAAGAAAACATTATTTTATGACATATTATTTAGAAAATAGTATAGGATAAATTGTTATTAAATTTCACCAAAATCAAATAAAATTAATTTGAAAAAAATAAAGTTTCGACAAAATATTTATTTCAAATTGCACTTTTCACAAACAAAATTTTGTTCTGTCTTTGAAATACCAGCACAAGCAGTATGTGCCCATTCTTTACATTTTCCCTGGCATTTAATCCAGCTTTTACCATTTGTAGAAGAAGACCATGAAGAGCAACAATAAAGACACAGGGCATCATCATCATCACCATTATTTTTGTTGCCAGAATTGCTTGAAAATTTCAATCGCCTGCGACTTTTCTTTTCACATTTTACTTTTTTTCTGTTTTTTGTCTTCTTTTTTCTTGTCTTTGAAAAATTTCATTTTTAATTGGAGTTTCTGTTAAAATCCTCGTTTTACCTTGCCTGGGGTGTTTACCTTTCAGTTTCCTAGGTGGAGCAACTGGAAATGGCCTGATGTCTTCAGGTTTAAATATTGTAGCGATCTCATCAAGAACTGTTAGGCCACTTTTCTCAACCCTTCTCCATTTTTTACCATTAGAACAGCTTTGCGTACAATTTCCAAACTATACTTCCCTCTTTCTGTTTTTCGAATATGAGTTCGTGGCATGTCTTCCAAAATAAATATAATAAATTAAATAATGCTAATAAAAATAAATAAAAAAAAACATAAATAATTTATGTTTTATTCAATTAATTTATCAGATAAATTAATACAAACCAACCTAAATTTATATTTACTGATTATATAACTAAAAGGTAAAGAGTTATAAAGAACACATAATAATTAATTATTCAGGGTTGATTGAGATGTCTCATTCAACCCTTTAAATGATTGTCTCAAGCATCCCCAACTGAGGTTTAGGTTATAAAAGTTCTATTAACTTTTTTATTGTCATTGTTTAAGTGACAATATTATACGAGAAGAATCGCTAAATAAACAATAAAATTAATAATAGCAAACTGTATTTAAAAAAACAAAATTAATGTAAAATAAAAAGAAAAAATGTGATCACCTAAATTTTACTTTCGAGGTCCAAAAACAGTTTTTTCAGTCCGGAAACTAAAAACGTGCATGAAATTTGATCCGCTTTTAGATAAACATAAATGACATGATATTCGACAAAGATAAACTAAAAGAGTACCCTTAAAGCGCATAATTTTCTTATTATTGACCTGTCCCATCCACACTCTTCCCTCCTATATTTCCACTTCTTTTACAGTTAGGCACATATGATCAATCCGTTTTTGGGAAAAGGTTTTTATATATACATTTACATATAATATAACAAATGATGTAACGCAGGGATAAAGTTTTACATGCAAAATTTGTGGCCACACTTGACTACATGTGTACGTGCAGGCAACACGAACACCATAACAAAATATCATTGATATCGTTATACAAGAACTTCCATCACATCCATCTGTTTTATTTTTACTTTCTGATTTCTTTTTCTTCATTTTTTAATCGGACTTGATTGAGTTTTGCTTTTGCAGTTTAAAATGACAAAGTATTTGTGTCTATTGTGTTGTTAACAATTTATAAACACACTAGTGATTATATTTTCCTGTTTCGTGCTAACCTTTCGAAAAACATTCAATTAATCAATCATAAAACGTTTCTATAGACAGGTTGATCTAAAAATATATTTAAGCAAACGAAGAGAAAATAATTACAGAACAGATAGATAGAAAATCATCATCTCAGTCGTACAACTTTTATAGAAACACTCATCATACAATCGAATTAACGCAAAAAACATGTTTGCCTAGCGGAGTCATTCACTTTCAAAATTGATGACTCAAGCAAGGTTATTGTAAGGAATGCTGGCACACGAGATAACCAAATTTTAATCGAAACTACATTTTAATCGAAACTACTCCATCTTTTTATTTGCGCCCTTCTCTTTGCGAGATAAAAACGGATTGTTTTCATTTGTTTTTAAAAACAATTGATTTTTTTTTAATCAACAAAACACTATTTTAACAATATCAAACTTGGCAAGTTAACTGCTACACGAAATTAACGTTTCTCTAAATAAGTTTAAACGTTAAGAGCGAAGTCACTTCCTTACCCCCACCCCATACATAACTGATAGATACATAACTCATACATAACGTAATCACAGAGCAGTTGTCTTCACCAGACAGGGAAACAGAATATTCCAGCAGGCACCATCTGGGCAGTTTAAATTGGACAACACTTCGCCCTACCGTTGCGAGTGCCAATAAGAATATCATGAATTACTGTTCTGCTTTATAACGTTTAACGTAGAATCAAGTCATCTAAAAACATTTTTTAAATTTTATAATTATTTTAAGAGGCACGGGCTTGGCCCCTGGCAATTTAAAATAATAATTAAATTTTTTTTAATGTTATTGGATAACGTGATTCTAAGTAAAACGTAAATCTTTAACAAATCAGTAAGCATCTTCGTATCGTTATTTTGAAACGATACGATTCAATACGATATCGCAATCTTGTCTCAAATGAAATGTCATGTTTTTTATAAACCTGAAAATACATTTCTACATTGCCTTTATCCAAGCAAATATGCATGCATACTATAAATATGGAAAACTACTAAGCGAATTGTGGTGTCTTTATCACCAGAAAACGTTTCAGACATACCGTTGAATCGTTTGAGAATGTTATTTCATCAAAAAGACTGAAATCATCCTCCTTGGCTGACAAGTTGGAAAACCTTTGCTAGAACTTTTTCGGGGTTGTATTTTTAGATAAATCTGGAATCAAGTGTGATGTTTCATATAAACGCACTTGCCGTTGAGAATATATTCACCGTTATAAAAATCTTCTTTAAATATATATACATGATGTAAACCCCAACTACAAACATAAATAAATCCCCTGGCCGCGAAAACCGAATACGATAACACATTAAAAAGGTACTTAATTAATTTTCACCGCAGGGAAAGGTCTCACAAACAGATGAACTACTGCTCATAAAGAAACACGAAACAGACTGCTACAAAAACATTTCAGGAAATTACAGAAAAGGTAAATTTATTATCATCTTTAAATTAATATTAATGATATCAATAGCTATATGTTAACAAATATTAGCTTCATGTGTTTGTCTATACAGCACAAATTGTTTAGCAGAACTATCCATTGTCCCATAAGACTGAAATTATGTACATTTTTTCTGATGACTAGATTTTATTTTGATAATTAACTGCCACGTCTAATCTTGTCAATCATTCAACCAATGCTTGACAGTATGACCAAACAAATTAATATGTTCAAAAATATGAAAACATAAATTGTATCTGAAACCACTGTCAGAGGTGGAATGCAGATGAGTCAGTCAAAAATTTGAAGCAATTGGTTATAGGACCAATGCTGTAATCATCTGAGCAACATATTGATAACTTATACCTAAGTGGATTATCATTTGGCAAAAAAATTAGTGATTTAAATTATTGAAACAAAACTTATGCCTAAATTTTATTACCATATGCAATAAAAATCAAATCGAATCACTTTTATTCAATCAAACAAAACAAAAGCATGAATGATTCGGAGACCAAAAAAAGAAAATTAATTCTTGTGGGCTCGGCCACCGTGCAGCTCAAAATTGCTTCTCAATGATAAAATAAAATTGTCAATAGGAGAAAATGTATCAATGTTAATGAAATATGTACACACTTATATACATATATATACATATACATTATTATCCTTGAAAAACAGAACTTTTCGTAATTAAAAAATTTTTCAGTTTATTTTTAAAAAGATGCAAAGTGTTACAATCTCTAATTTCTTGTGGAATCGTCTCCCATAATCCTGGGCCGGTATGTTTCAAACTCATGCAGAGTACTTTAATTCTGGCTGGTGGAGCATAGAAAAGTGGCGTGTAGTTCTTGCTTGAATGGAAGTTCCAAAAGTGAAAAAGTTTCTAAAAAATGCCGGCAATTGCTGACGTAGAAATCTAAAAATGAATGTTGCAACGTGGTAGATGAACAAGTTTTTGATGTTGAGTATTTTCATCTCGAGATAATATTCACTTGTGTGACAATGAGGATGAAGATTTTTAAATATTCTGATGAATCGGTTTTGGCATTTTGTTAACTGTTTTAGATGAATGTCAGGACTGTTTCCCCAAATTACGTTGCAGTAGATGAGGTGAGGAAAGATTAACGAATAATACAGGTCAATTAGAGTAGGTTTATTTAATTTATTTTTAATTTTGCTTATAACTCCTAGGGTTTTGCATATTCTTTTAGACATAGTACCTATGTGAATATCCCAAGAAAGATTGTCCTTGATTGTTACTCCAAGGAATTTTGTGCTGGTTGAGCGAGGAATAGAAATATTGTTCATTTTTATGTCTAGGTTAGGTATAATATTTGTTAAAATTTTCGGACCAAAAATAATGTAATTACATTTAGAATAATTTACTATTAATTTATTTTTGATAAACCAGGTTGATATATTTTGAAGACTGTTATTGATGTATTCTACTTCTTTCAATGGGTCTTTAGTTGGGAAGAAGATGTTAGTGTCATCTGCATATAGAAGGTGATTTGCATCAGTTAAGATGAAAACATGATTCAAAGTGACTCTGCAGTTTCCTTTACCAATATTTATTCAACCAATTTATGATGCATAGCAGATTTAAAATTTACCTGAGACATTTGTTGCTTCAAACTTTTCAAAGACTTTTGCAAAAGCTACTTTAAAAAATCATTGTACCCTCCCATCCAACTAGGAATAATGGTGAGATTCAGAAATTCACCAACGGACAGTTAATGTGAGACGATAACAAACTTACTAAATCTCACAGAAACCACCAGCTAGCTATTTCCAACACGTTACAATTGCAAGCGAAGAGATTTTAAATGAATTTACCATTCAAGCCATCATTTTGTCACACTCACTCTTCAGCCATCACTGTGTATACATAAAAAAGCAATTTAAATTTTAAAAACTGATTCCAGAGTTTTATCAAAAAAGATATATATATATATACGGTTTAGCCTTAAAATTATGCCAAAAATTAGACAACCAGGGAATAAAGAATGTACCAAATTTCAATCTCAGATCAGAATAAATGGAACGGTAAGGTGTATAATCATGTAAATGATTTACATCAATATAATATGGCAGAATTGTTTCATCACTTCTGAGTTGATTAAATAACTTTTATAAGTTTATTAAAATTTATATAAACTTTTAAAAAAAATTTTCTTTAAAAGGCATGTATCAGTGTATAGAATTCTATTCATTGTAATTCATTTGTCCCTATCTATACAAAATCATCATTTAACATGCCACAATTATATAAAATAAAAGACCAGTCATTTTTCAAAATGGATATAATAAAACCTACAAGAGATTTTAAGGCCCAGAGTCTAAACCTTGGTATACTTTTTAATTGGCTATGCTAAAAACGAAGTCTTAGAATATGAAAAATATTGAAATAAATAAAAATAAAAAATGGGGTGAAGTAATGTTTAAAAAATTTATTTAAATTAAAAAGAAATTTTTTTTTATACTCATGATCATTTAGTAGTTGAAAATTTTTAAGTTTGAGTTACTTAATATTTAATCAAATTAAAATATTAATTAAATTATTAATATTAAATATTATATAATTAAGAAAAGTGCATAATAAATATAATATACAAAATAAAATAAACATAAAAAATAAACAAATAAGCCGGACGGCTTGATTAAGCAATTTCTAACATTTCTTTACAGAAATTAAAACGTTAATAGCAATCAGATTAAAAAAATTTAAACCGAGATTTAGCATATAAAAATCATGAAATAAAAATAATTAATAACATTTATACTAAAAAATAACACGCCGAAAGAACAGCACGTCGATCAGTAGAGGAAAGAACGTACTGATGTTTGGCTGCCGGAACATAGAGATAATTAATTTTATAGCGCCAAACATTTTATAAAATTAACAATTCTTCCGATATTGAAACATGTTCACAAAAATGGTTTCTGTGACATTTAATTTTTAAAAACATTTTAAATTTTTTTATAAAATTTAATGGTTAAACAACGTGGCACGTGTTTTTAATGTTTAAATTAACATAAAATTTTATCCACAAAATTTAGTTGGCGGATAGGATTTTATCAATAATTGACTATAATACAAGTTAATAATGCATTTCAAATATAAATTCACATAAACAGAAAATTCCAGCGCAACAGAATGTCCAGCGGTATGGGATGGGGTGATGTGTTGGCCCTCTGCCCAACCCGGGACCCAAGTCTCACAGCGATGTCCTGATTATATTATTGCGTTCAGGAGAGGAGGTTTCAGTCAAGTACATTTTTATATTAAAATAAGTTTAATTATTTTTCGATTTTGTGGAGCTGTTATGAGATGTAATTATTATGATTCAGCAAAATTCAAAGTAAATAATTGCGTGTTTGTAGGTGTGGCAGTGAGAAGATGCTTGGAGACGGGCAGCTGGTTCATCAGTCCCATGACAAACCTCTCTTGGACCAACTACAATGATTGTTCCATTGAACTTGACAAAGTTGATGAACAGTTCATAGTTAGCTTATTTGAATTTCAAAAATTAATTTTTACCAAAAATGGGACCCGTTTAATAAGATTATAACAACAATCAAAACATGGCAAAAAATAAATTACAAATTTTATGGGCAAAAGCGAAACGTCTATGTGCCGGTAAATTAGGGTTGGGCAAGTCATCTAGTCTAGCATGTAGGCCTAAATCATCTAGAAAAGGGCAAAGTGTCCGATATTCAAAAAATAGATAATATAAAACTGAACATGTCATAAAAATTTCAGAAGCACACTGACACACATACATTAATTTTTCTGCATACATGTACGCACACACAAATGGACACAAACACACACACAACAACAACAACAGATGCATCTACGAAACAACAGGATAATAGCGCTGGTCGGAAATGTTTTGACAGACATAGTACTTGGATTTGCTGTCAGCATTATGCTCTCCTTCAGGTTAAATCCATCTGTAATTATTTTATTTTGATCTTTTTGTAAAAACCCACTCTCAATTACGCGAAAACATATATGCATACATATACGTATTTGAACTGTTGGCAGCATAGCGTAGATGTTGTTGTCGTTTCTGTATCAACTGTTATCACGATTGAGTCGTACGTTAAAACTTTCAACTTTTGATATTGTCGAGATATCGTTAAAAAGTTGCTCTTGGAATAAATGTTTTGCAACACCAATTTTTATTGTTTTCACTACAATCTTGCGCCTCAGTGCCGCAAATTTTACCATGCACGTACATTTGCACAGGCAGGATGTTAGATAATAAAATTTGAAAATTTTACAGCTATAAATCTGATACATCTCAATTTATTTTTTAAATATTCTTACAATTCTGGAGCAATATTATTCTTAGAGATCTTCATAAATAAATTTCAAACTTTTGCTGTAAAAGTGCATGTCTTTACGTTCAGCAGCCTTGATGAGTGAGCATTGGTGAGTCTGACAAACTCCGCGACGTGTATGTACCAATTCTTAAAATCTTTAATTCCTGTTCTGAACTTTGCAATGAAATGTTAAAATAAATAAATAAAATAAATGATTGGATGAATTGCTAAGACATTTTAAAAGCGATACTAATATTTGACCATGTGGATTTATAACCAATTTTATTATTTTTTCATTGAGGAACATACCGTGCGTTGCGTATCATGTATGCACAGAAAGTACACACACACCATAGGACAAACGGCCGATGAACATGGTGAAACAATATATGAAAGGACAAGACACAGTACACGACACACACACACACACACAACACACACACACACAACAACACAGCCCATTACACAACACAGCACAACACACGACAGGACACACGACACAAAACACTGCCGCTGATCACAATCATTAGCGATGTTTACGAGCAATTAGTTTATCGTAAACCAAAGAATCTTGAGATTTTTATTTCTTTTTCATTTGAATTTTTTTTTTATATTAAACAATAAAGAGGTAATTATGGAATCATCGAAATTGCGATAAAAAGCTGCTTCATGCCTCTTGCAATTGGCGCTTGAAGAAATTGATCTGCTAATGGTTTTTTTAATTGATGCAGTAATAATGTGAAGTTTCTACTACGGATCAAAAGTTTCCTCGCATATTTTTGGTACCAATTTTTATTGCCGCGATGGTAGGCTAATATTTTGAATTTACGTTAACAAATAAATGTTGATTTATTAATAAAATTGAATAAAGGTTTTGTTTGCAATTTATATGATCATAAAATGATTAATATCACAAAATGTGAAGGAAACGTCGAAAAGTCAAACAAAGTATGGTAGGTAAATATGGACAGCAACGTACAAGTCATTAAAAATGCTCTTGATATCGTCAGCTTAGAACCCATTCAGTTATTTCTAATTCTTCTCAACTCAAAACTCAACAAACTTACCAGGAAACTACACTGTCCAAGAAACTCCATCCACATAAACTTGTTCGTCTCCTTCATACTGAGGGCCACTTTGAGCATGTTGAATGGGGCATCGCCAATAGCAGAGTACGGAGTCACCAATCCCATCAAGAAAACCTTGAGAATCAAAAAGAGCTACGTTCGTGTGTTTGTTGCCCTTCAATTCAACATTTCTTCAATCAAACTTATTTTACTTTATCGTAATTTTGTAGCGTTGTTCGTTAGGTTCAGTTAAAAATTCTTACGTGCATGTCCTTATGTTGCCAGCAGTCTCCAACTACATTTTTGACGTAATTTGTTTTGAATTTTGACAAAATTTAAAAAGAAATAATTAATAAAATTGTGGTCAACATTGTTTTATTTGGACAAACTAAAACACATTCTTAGATAAGCATTTTTTAAACTGCGGTTATGTTTTAAAATAATTAATTGGTCTATTTGTCACCTTTGATTGATTTTTATTTTTAAAAGAAAAATATATTTGAGTGAGCGTACTTGGATGGATATCATGAAAGTTCATCATCAGCTTTTAAAATACACTTTAAGGCAGTAGGTGATTAGTTTTGCTAATAACAGTAATTTAAAAAAACGTTCGTTCCAATGAATGAACAAACTTAAATTTGAACTCGAATTGAGCAAGAGATTTGTTTTATTTTTAGAGACCACAAATCTCCACCTTGCACTGATGCGTTCTTCGAACGTTAAGCGTTCCTGTGTACTCGTGTTTGTGTGTGTGTGTGTGTGTGTGTGTGTGTGTGTGTGTGTGTGTGTGTGTGTACGTGAGTAAGCACATGTATGTGCGTGTGTGTACGTATGTGTGCTTTTATAAATCTATCCATCCATTTCCGCTTGGTTGTTTAATCATTTAGTCATATAGTGAAATTTTCATAAAGTTTTAAACAGCGCTTATGAGCATTCGACAATCAAACAAGGCGAACATAGGCACATAAGCAAGCATACATGAGACATCACACGTAGGAACAAGTTAGGAAAGCAAAACTTATACGAAAAGTACAAAGTAATAAAAATCGGAACGCCTCACATCATCCAATCCGGTTTCTGCAACGGTCATCATTCGGTGTTCTTGAGCAACAAGCCAAAAGATGAACTACAATCTAATTGTTGTTTAGTGTTCACTAATCATATTTCTCGCGACTAAGGTAAAAATAAATGTATGTTTTAATTTAACATAACGTATAAAATGATTGTAGTTCAAAATTTTATTTTTAGTTTATTATCTCCGTGCGGACCAGGTGTGGTTGTGCAGATTGCTAACAACGATGCACACATATTTTGCCATTTCAAACAACGCTTGGGTCTTTCTTGAGGGCCTCTACCTCAGAAACATCATTTACCGGGATGTTTTCACTGAAACTCATCCAATCACGTACTATTTCCTGTTTGGATGGGGTGCGTTTGTTAAATTTTTTCTAATTTTATTTATTCTTTTATTTTTTCTAGTTTAGCTTTTGCGACAAAAAAATGTTTCGTATGTTAGGCTGTACAGGACGGATTGTTTTGTGTTGTTTTTATAAATATTTGAAAAAATCGTTCTATCATTTATTCATGAGAAAAGTATACATTAATGATTATCAGTGGCGGAGACAACTTTGAGGGGAAGGTCGAAACTTTGAAAATGCTTACAAATTTTGAAATGTGATGGGCCAAAAATGTTAGGCTGACGACTTTTATATTTTTTATAACACCTTAATTTCTGGTCAATTTCCTACATAAAACAGTGTTTTTCGTGTGTAGAAACTCAGTTTTACTGTTATTTAATGGAAATACCGCCACTGATGATTATTAATTTATCACCATATTCATCATTTTGCTGAAATTATTTCATAATTAAAAATTATTGCATGCATTATCAATATTTTGTTCCAACCGTTGTTCCCATCCTCACCAACGTTTCCATTCCATCCGCCAGGTTTTGCACTGCCTCCACTGGCAGCCTGGATTGTCATCAACTACAACATCAAAAATGTGTATGTATCTTAATAGTAATAATAATAATAATAATAATAATAATAATAAAATAATAATAATAATAATAATTATATTACTGTTATTATTAGTTTTATTTTTATTATTATCATTAGTAGTAATAGGAGTAGGAGTATTTTTTGTTATTTATATTATCTGCATATTTAAACGCAATTTTAAATAATGAATACGAATACCTGCCTGATAAGAAATCTGGTTGTTACTCTAAACCTGGTCACGTGTTAGCTCAGTTGGTAAAGTGCCATATCTCGCACTGATATAACGCGAGACTATGGTTCGAGTACTGTCTGTCCAAAATACGAAGACTATCATACGCATATGATGCCGTGCTTGCTTAATGTTTACGTGCATCGTGGCACGAAAATTTAATTATAGGTATTAAATAACCTGCATTCTAAAGAATAATAAAAATCATGATGACTTCAATATGAATCAAATGATTTCATATTGGTTGCTGATCAACGAGTGAAAAAATTATTGAAAACATTTCAAACAATTTTTAGAAAAAAGCCTGCAAAACATGCTGCCTTTGTATAAATATAAAAATCTCACTTTTTGTTTAAAATGAAATCGTTTGTCCTACAAACTTGATTATTGGTTTTCTCGACAAAAAGTTTTTTCCTGTTTGTTGACTTTTTTAATTTTTTCGCAAACTCGCAAATGTTCAACATTTTTTTTTGTTTTTTTTTGTGACAATTCTGTTGACGTGTTACGTGTGTGTGTAGTTGTTATGCTTTGTATGCATCATATTCATTCTAAGTGTTATATCATTTGTCGTTTGCTTTGGTATATTTTGTTGGTTGTATTGGATGTTGTTGTTTGCGTTGGTTTATGTTGTTTTTGTTGTCATTAGATGTTATTGCGATACATTCCGCTTTATGCACTCAAATTTTCTTAGAACTCATTTTGATTGAAGCAATTCAGAATAAAAATTCCTGCTTCTTTTTTACAGTCATTAGATGCCCCAAAAATAAGCTTAATGTTGCAACGTTCCAACTTTTTTCTAGGAATTATAACGTTAAAACTTCCATTTATTTAATTAATTTTTGAATCACATACCTTTTATTTTTGCACGTTTTTATTGCTATAAATGTACAGTGGCTTGTTTTGTGACACATCTTCAAACTTAAAACGTCGTCTTCATTCATTTGAGCTTTTTTAAAAAGCGATATTTCTGTTGTGTAATAATGATAAACATCATTTTTGTTTTGCTCACAAAACGTTTATTCAATTTTTTTAAAGTTTTCTTAAACTTTCAAATAAAATTTTTTTGGCAATCAATCTGAAAGCGCAATGAACTGGGCCATAAAATTTTATTCATAAGAGCTCTGAATGTAGTAGGATATAAAATGCATCGATCGTCAGAAGAGATATCCATCTTCACTCAATTCACGTTTAACCGTTGCAAATCTATTTTCAATGATTAAAATTCTAAACTTTCTTTTATTGGTTTGTTTTACATTTTCATTTCCTAAGAAAGTAGTCAAGGTTTCAAGTAGTGGACTGTATTTGACGTAGAGTTTGCTCGTTTGCTGAAATTGTTATTTCTCATTGAAAAATTCAACCTAATAAAAATATTTTTCAAAATTTTGATGCAATTAGTATTGGGTCTTTAAAATCTTCTTGCAGTTTTAGTTTCGGCTGGTGTCCAGAGTTTCGCAGTCGGTTAGAATCGGAGATTGTTACTGGAGTCGGAATGGAATATTTTTCATCCGACACCCAGCTCGTGTCACATCATTGCTTGACTGACGTTAAATGGGATTTTATACTCTGTTTGATGGACTTCATTTTGACCAAACAATTCAAACATTTAATGTTTCATCAATCATCAACCCAGCACTTAAAACTTTTAAAACAAATTTTCAACTTATTCGAGCCCTACCGTAAATGATGGTGCATTGCATATTCAATTGTCTCATGCATTGGAATACTTCGCAAGCATTGTGTACCACATAAATAATGTCTCCAACAATTGCTTATCATATGTTTGCTACATAAATCACAACGTACCTACCAATAAAAATTTAAAACTTACTCTTTTCATACATTTATATTACCTGATTACCAAGTAGTACATAGTAAATAACATTGGCTTGCATTGTAAATCATCTAGGTACATGCCGGATATAACTAACCTTTTCTATCTGTTACGTAATCATCTATGTTTGCGTCTTTCTATCTATGTTTGAAAATTATAGTATATGTATGTTTAAAGCTATGGGTAGCAACAATTGAACAGTAATTCATTATTTTCTAAAGAATTTTACCTGCATTCATTTGTTTGTTCTTGTGCAAACATTTATACTTTTCTAAGTTTTCAAATGGCATTTGAACTTTGGCAAGTGGCACACACACACACACACAACACACACATACACACACATATATACGTATATACATATGCGTATATATATACACACACAAACACTCAAGGACACAATGATTTATAATCCTCTTAGACAGTCAGTAGATCAGGGTGCATTAATTGAATAAAACATGACTTGTGCATGACTTGCTCGTTTGATATGTACCATTGTGTCTGTCTATTCATCATTTGACAACCCACTTTATTTGAAATGTCCCTCTCCTTCCCGAAAAAAAAAATATAATTCATTATTATTTACATGAGAGACATTTCAAATGTAAGTATTTTTATTTTTCTGTTATTTTGTGTTTATTTGTTTTTTAAATATATTTTAACATTTTGATGTGAAGGGAGAGTAGAAAATGAATTGAGACTGGATCGTGTAAGGACCCATTTTTACAACTTACCCACCACATTGGAGGTTTTTTTATTTCCAATCATTGTGCCCATTTCAGAGAGCCAATTTATTTCGCCGACTCTAATTTGCTGTTTCAATTTTTCACTATACTGAAAAAATTGTCTTTTAAATTTTGAGAAAAAAATTTACTATCGTAAAAATGTTCTTCCTTTCAACCGAAACGATGTTGACGTTGTAGTTCTTTGGAGATATTTTTATATTTTCTGGGAATGCCATGAAGCTATCGTAGAATTGTAAAATTATATATATATAATAAAATTATAAAACTATAATTATAAAATTATATTATTTATTTCTTCAAATGATTTTATTTTTTCATCAAGTTACACACGCACACACAACACACAAAGCCGCACATTCTAATGAAACACACAAAGACATTTCTAACTTCCACATTCATTCACACACACAACACACACACACCACACACATACATACATAGACACACACAAACAAACACATAAGCATAAACCCACACATGCAAATATACACATAAACACACAGACTAACACACACACACACACACACACACACACATACATACATACATATTAACGCACAAACATTGCACAGCAGATGTTGGATCGAGACGACAACACTTTCATACTGGGTTATACACGTGCCCGTTGTATTCACAGTCATCGTTAGTCGCATTAATATTCTAATTAAATTATTAATTTACAATTTAATTAATTGGGTTAATTATAATTAGAAGGTGATTAGCTTTTTAAAAGTTGGCTTCAACTTTGAATGATCACGATCCATTATTCCGCAGTTGTTAGGTCAACGCCTTTTTTACATTAATTCCATTCAACGCACGTTTCTCAGCGGGAAAAAGTATCAGAAAATAAAATCCATTGTGAAGCAACATATCTTTACGAATCGAGTGTTAAATTTTGATTCACATTCTGCATTCTTTTCGCCCACTTTGTATACTCGTTCCAATTGTCATCATTGATGTATGTATAATATTACATAAATGTATATCGGTGTTTTAAACGTTGACAAAATTTTTTATACTTTACACTTTTTAGGTTATTACATCAATTCAAATGTAATTAAAATTACACTGACTTACAATTGCAATATTTTAATAGAAAAAAAATCAATATTTTTTAGTATTCCCATTAAACAATGCGCGAATCACTTATATGTGCCGTTGTGTGTGAAGGTGTATGCGTTGCTGTATTTGCAGCTGTATGTGTAGCTGTATGTGTAGTTGTATGTATAGTTGTATGTGTAGTTGTATGTGTAATTGTACGTGCAGTTGTATATGTAGTTGTATGTGCAGTTGTACGTGCAGTTTTATGTGTAGTGTATGTGTGGTTTTATGGGCAGTTGTATGTGCAGTTGTGTATGTGCCTTTGATTGCTTGGAACTATGCTGCCTGCATGTGTTTTATGCGACGCACGGATGTCAAACAGTCGACCGGCGGGACAATTTTTTATAGGGCCCCTAGCGTTATGTGATAAAGCAGGGAAGCGAAAATGAAAAATATTGAAAAATGGACAGTTATAAAATTCTTTGTGGGCTCACTTTACGTGTTATTATTGGCAATATTGCAAGTTTTCTGTAGCACGTATTGAAAAAAATTAAGAGTGAATCAACAAAGAGCGAAATTCTGCTTTTTTAAAAGTACCAACGCAACTCGCGTCTAGAAAGAAAAAGAGTGTGACACGGCCGATGTGATGTAACGTAAATAAAAAACGAATGAACCAACAACAAAAACAATAACATAAATAACAAAGACAATTACTACACTAACAACAACAACAACAACAACACTAACAAAACCAAACTTATTTTTCACCGCACACACACAACACACACACAAACAAACAAACACACATGCATGCTATGAAATAAACACCAGATGAATTTCATCTTTTTTGTCTCCATTCTTCGAGTCCTCTTCTACAAATTCAAAACATCGACAACCAGAGAAGCAAAGAAGAGGAAACAAATGTTGGTAGTTTTCCTTTATTGCGATGTTGTTGTCCTTTCCATGCTTTGTGTTGTTGCCGTTGGTTGCAGTTGTTGGATGTTGATGTTGCTGACATGAAGATGTCGTAAATTTTTGTTGTTTCGCAGTTTATGTTCAATCATATGGTGCGATATATTATTTAATTAACGTATATAAAATGTTGTTGTTGTTGTGTGTGTGCGTGTGTGTGTGTGTGGATTAATTTTGCTGTTGTCAGATTATTTTTATCTGATTGACAGTTCTTGTAATTATTGTGGAAAGAAAAAATACATTTTTCTGAGTTTCTTCGTTCGATAAGTTTGATTAGAGTAAAAATACTTGTAGGAAAAAAATCAAACTTCGAATTTTTCCCGACATGTTTTCATGTTGTCACCCTCCTATATATACACCTCTTCTTTCTTTACCTAAACATCTGTGCTCATGTTTTAATTTTTGTTTGTTCGTATGTTTGTTCACCTTTGTTCGTAGCGAACATTGACCTCAAAACTGTTGCTCCATCCATTTAAGAGGCTGTCTATTTTTCGTTTTTCTGTTATCGTAATCACCATCATTGTTATCATCTTTTCCATCCTAATCACCAATTATCACCAACATCACCATCGTCCTCATCGCTGCCTACAATTCTTTCCATCTCAACTCACGCCATTATCTTCATCGTTACAAACAGGAAACTTGCGAAATCCACCTTGTTTTTGATCCCCATGTTGGGAATTCCCAACATCACCTTCATCTTCCTCCCTCGAATCGTTCACATGACTCTCGAGATCGTCAGATTGTATTTCGAGATCATATTCAGCTCATTCAACGTTTGTACCTAAATCTTTTTTTCTTCCTATATTTTTAATTTGAATATCAGATGATTAAAGGGATTTATTATTGTCAGATGTTATTCAAATCTTCCATTAAATTTATTAGAGGATACATTAAATTAATGATTAAACGCCCTGTCAAATATATGATAATAACAAAATATTTTAAAGTTTTTTGAGTGCATCAACCAAAGAGCTACAAAATTTCCTTATGATAACAGAACCATTAACATTTAAAATATCATGAACATATTCTGTTTTTGAAATTTTATTATTACAAGAATTATTGCAGTGATTCGCCTTAAGATTTGAAATATACCTACACGATAAATGTTTGTGCAACTTGTTGAGTACATGCATACAATCATCTATCGATCCATTCGGCATGTTTTACCATCAATCAAATTAAACAAATATGTTGTTTGTTCGAATTTTTAAAGTTGTTAACTTAATAAAACATTTTTATGTTTTTTTTTCTCAATTTTTATCATCGAAACAATAGATAAATAACCCAATACCTCAAATAATAATCAGATTATTAATTATACTTGACAAAAAAGTAAAAACAACAATTTGGTAATAAAAGCATTGTAATAAATAAGGTCAGATGTTGGCGCCAAATACCATCACACGCGCACATCTATAAATCTGCACTATCGATTAAGACAACAGAGCTTATGAGCAGAAACAAGAGACTGCATGCCATCAAGCAGAGTGGCGCAGTGGAAGCGTGCTGGGCCCATAACCCAGAGGTCCGTGGATCGAAACCACGCTCTGCTAGATCAGTAACCTTTTATAAATTTTGATTACTACAGATGTTTATTTTTAAAATTCCAGAGTGTGATAGTAGCCTTCTTGTTTTGCTTCATGAATGACGAGGTAGGAGGAGTTATTTTTCATGTTTTTAAATTTTAAGTTTAATTGTTATAATAACCATATTCAATCTTGTTATAATTGTAACAATCGTGTTGTGTTTGTAATAATAATGGCACCGTAACAATCGTTTTGTATTTGTACTTTTTGTATTTGTATCTTTTATCGTTTCTATGAAAACTTGGACCTTATGCACCAACTCCCTCTACATTTTTCCTTTATCTCCTTTTTGTGAAGTCAGATTCATCAATTCTATCTTCATCTATCCATCCATTTATCCATCCATCCATTCATCCATTCATCCATCCATCCATTTATCCATCCATCCATTCATCCATCCATCCACGCACTCGACCAGGTGCAGTCGGAATTGAAACGGAAGTGGTTCCATTGTTGGGTTCAAAGGAGGAGTCAGACGAGACTTCACCACATCATTAGCTGGAGGAACCCAAATACCAACCAATCACAGACAGCCGCTGTGATGATGTCACCGATGACGACGATGAAATCCAACGCCAAAAAATTGAACACGTCATCTCATTGCCACAACATCGGATTTCAACAACAACAACAATATTATTACTATCATCATCCAAGTTTCAAACTCCAGCTAGAAAGAGTGAGAAAATTCAAGGAGCAAACTGTTTGCGGGAAATGTAACTCGAAAAACAACTCTATGAACACGAACAACAACAGCAGCAGCAACAACAACAACAACGGAAGACAGGCAATCGTTAGTGAAAACTTCGTCCGACGCTCGGTTAACAAAGCCGGTTACTGCAGCCAGCCACATAAAGAAGACATATGCATCATCATTGGCAACCAGCAACGCTATAATAACGATATTAACAATGTTATCAATAATTGCAATCGCCTGGACGCTGACGCAATAGCAGTTCATGAAAATCGTTAGCATAATTGCAAATGACTACCGAATCATCGAGAAGCACACGCAACATGCGAGCATTGTGCATGTATAAGTTTAATATACATTCGCGAACTATTTGCATTTATATTGAATTAATTAACATATTTCTTTCTCTTCGTTATATAACTCGTTTTTCTCTGTACAGTTATTTATATTTTGTTTTTATTATAATTATTATTATTAAGATCGTCGCAATTTTTATGATAAATTTCTTGATGCTGTTTTTCTTTTTCAGAAAACAAACTTTTTAAATACAGCATCACATCATCACGGCAGCCATACAAATGGACGTAACTTGTTTGCAAACTCTGCCGATGTTTAACATGAGACGAGGTAGGTGGCCAGGGTCAACAGGTAGCCAAAGATTGCACGGAAAAATAATCAAAAATAAATTCAATTTAAAATATTTACTATCTGACTCTTCAACTAAAGTAGAACAGAACATTTAAAAAAAATCCATGTTTCCTATTAATACAACACAATCAGATAAACAACATTAGCTGTTTTAATCTTAAATTTGCTGCAGTTGATGCAAAACCGGTTCCAAGCATAAGCAAATGTTTCAAACGCAATACACGTTAGATCATTTTGAAAAAAATCATATATCTAGTGAATTGAGTTGAATTGAATCGACATAATTCACTATACAAGCGTCACATTCCGAAAATTGAACTGCAGCAATACATGTTAGATCGATTCAAGATACTTACTAGAAATAAAAAATGTGGTCTCTGTTACCAAATGAATTAACATACTCTTTTCTCTTCGTATATAACTTCTTTTTCTCTGTACAGTTATCATTAAATACTGCATGAATCTGGTCAAAAAAACTACCAGCCTAATTCACTTCATTAGAGCCACATTCCAAAAAATCAAACCATAGTAATAAATAAAGATAACCAGGCGGTCGATTCAAGGTACTATATAATATACATCAAAGATTTCAAATATACATCCGGATTTCCGTTACCAAATTATATATTTTCTTCAAATGTTTAAATATTTGTTCCGAATACCATCCCATATCGCTCTTCTGTGAATATTGAATATTCTTCCATTATTCACAGCCATTGAAGTTGTAGATGCAAACAGGTGGCCATGCATCATCGAGCAGAGTGGCGCAGTGGAAGCGTGCTGGGCCCATAACCCAGAGGTCCGTGGATCGAAACCACGCTCTGCTAGGATGGTCTTATTTTATAGATTTTCATTACATCAATGGAAGAAACGCGTTGTAGTATGTAGTAAATGTACTTTATAACAAATGTCGAAGGTCTCAATGGCAACTCAATGGCAATTAATTGTAAATGTTAACTTGCAATGATAATGAAAATTATGCATGATACTTTTGCGACTTATTTCATGTATGTGAATGTTTGTGTCTCGATCATATTGTCTCGTTGTTTTTTTTTTAGAAAACCATATTTTTAAATAAAACATCCCATCATGGCAAACTCTGATGACGAGGTAGGAATAGGCAGCCAAAATAATTCAATTTAAATTTTTCAATATCTAACTCTTGCACAAAGTAAAAGAAATGTCGGAGATCTCATTGGCTATTCAAATCAAATAAATGTAAATGTAAATTTGCAGTGATGATAAAAATTATGCGTATTTATCATTTTGAGTAGAGTTGCAGAGTTGATGTCCTTACTGTAATTTTGGGTGTTATAATAAGATTTAAGAATTGAAAAATTAAGAAAGCCATCGAGATGACGTTAGATAGAACTAGAGGTGAACGTAAATTGCTGGAAATGGGAATTTTCGGGAACGTTGTCATAAATGGGAATTCGGGAGGGAATCGGAAATGACAAACAAAAATGGAAGGGAATTGGGAACAAATTTCAATTCCAGCTCACCTCTAAATAGAACTATCGAATGTTTAACTATTTTTTCCAAGTGCCATTTCATGACAGATGACACCCCCGCCCATCTATCGCTCATCTACCATTATTGTACTGTCAATTATGATAGATGTTGTAGATGCAAACCAGTGAACGGTTAACATTAAGCAGAGTGGCGCAGTGGGAGCGTGCTGGGCCCATAACCCAGAGGTCCGTGGATCGAAACCACGCTCTGCTAGTGTCTCTTTTTAAAAATTACCAAATGAAGGAATGTGTCGTGATGAAACTTATAAGAAAATGTCGGGCATCTTACATAGAAAATTTCATTTCAGTTTGCAATTCCTCCTTATTGTTTTTTTTTTTTAGAAAACAAAATTTTTAAATAAAGCTTCCTTATGGCAGCCGTACAAACGTACGTAACTTGTACGCAAACTCTGATGTTTAACATGATTAGGTAGAAACTGAACACCTAACAAACAGCCAACGATAACAGAAAATATATTAAAAAATTAATTCAATTTAATATCCGACTCTGCCCCGATGTAGAACACAAAGTTTTATTAAAAAATCGATATTTCACATTAGCGCAATCAACCAACAATGTTAGTTTTTTTAATCTTAAACTTGCTTACAGTCACGACAAAATGAGTCATGTTACAGGTGTTGTATATCGGGAAAATGTTTCAAATGGAAGTTGGATTAATTTAAAAAAATTTGTTTAAAATTAATTTTATAATGTTTCGAACACAAGAAGTGAAAAACTAAGGAAGTCATCGAGACGAGGTTAGATAAACTAGATAGACCATATGTCCTCCCAACATATTCAACAAAATGTTGGAAATCTCTTTAACGAATATAAAACGATTCTCATCAAGTTGATGTTGGATAATTTTTTTTCTGTTTGGTTGATGGCTGTTGGATGAGCCAGCCGACAGCTAAAGACCAGTTTATTTTAATCGAAAGTAACATACCGTAACCGTTTTAGGTTTTTGAAAACTTTACTACAAAACTTACTAAAAGTATTACGTATTACGTTTGAAATTGAAATATACCAATGCGATAAATTTGCAAACGTGTGACTGATCGATATAGCAAAGTCATCATGTGTGTACATTCTGTTACATACAACCCAAGGGAAGGCCTATTTACCAGCATACAACACCTTCTTATGGGTTGAAGCAGGGATATGCAAAGAACCTCAATTTTTTCAACTTTTAATTATTTTCAGTAATATCTCCCCTTGCTCCAAACCACATAACTAGAATAATAGGACTAATTGATCAATTCGATCTATCGGTCGGGCTATTTGTCGTGCTTGGATTGTTGGCTTACGAAATTGCATGGATTTTAACGAGCAAGCTAAATGAAATATTTACTTGATTTAATATGCTTAAAACATTGTAGTATTTCTATTTAATTTTAATAATGATTAATAGAATTATGTATTATTAAATTATTTTTGTTAATTTGAATATAAAAATTGCTTTTGGCCCGGTGAAATCCGGTGGCTTACTGAAGCCGAAGGTTGGCTTAGTAGGATTGAACTATAGTCACCTTTTTTTTACACTATTCGATCATGTTAAAAATTGATTTGCTTATGAAATAAACGGCCTAAATAAATCAAAATTGTTATTTGAACAACTATCTTCATTATATTGAATGAATATTTTACATTCTGCTGGTGCTCATAAGAAACTGGCTGTGAAATCATACGTTGGCTTACAGCAGTGGCTTACAGGGTTTCATAGAACTCATAAGATAGCACTTTTTTGTACATATAATGCTTTAAATATATCACAATTATTTTTGTCAGTATAAATATAGAAATTGCTTTTGTCGGGTAAAAAACAGTGGCTTACTGAAGCCGAAGGTTGGCTTAATCGGATTTTTTCTCATGTATACAATACTATGAGATAAATCAATCAAACAATCAAACAATCAGTCTGTCGGTCGGTCAGCCAGCCAGCCAGCTAGCCAACCAGCCAGTCATATATGTATATATATATATGTATATGTTGGTCTATCCATGGTCTATTACGACCATAATTTTTATGTATGTATATATATATATATATATAAAGAAAGAGAGAGGGAGAGAGAGAGAGAATGAGACAAGGGGTATGCGTAAAAAATAACGTTTCAATAAATAGATAAAAATATACAATACACATACACGCACACACACACACACAAACAAACTCACACACACATACACACACACACACATATATATATATATATATATATATATATATATATATATATATATATAT